TTGATGCCTACTATGTGCTTATGGAGATGAATATGCGTGACCAGGAGCAGTTTAGATAAACATCTGGTCTGCCAAAAGCTCTGCTCCATGTGACACTGATGAAATCTCCAAAAACTGTAAATCCCTTCACTTTGAAAATAAATATTCCAAAACTAAACATCTTTTGCAAATGCCAGGTACAAATTGGAACAATCAACACTTTTTCAGTAGTTGAAAACGTGAATGGAGTCTGTCGCTGCACATATGCTGTAGCAATAAGCTTGTTGAGTCTGTGATCCCATAGAAACTGATTCATTTTAAAATTCATAAAAATCATAAAATCAACCATTACAGTTATCAGCAATCCAAGTAATTAAATTTTAAAGCTGAACTTGCAGCTCTCAAACTAATAATAAAGTCAAAAGGTCAAAAGTTCTTAAAGCTTAGATTCTCACACTGAATATTTTACTGAAAGTCATATTATTACATGAGACCACGACGAATGACATTTGGTTTGTTGATCCTTCTGTGTGAAATGAACATAAAATGAAGGTATAAATCAGTGTTGATGAGGTGATTCCACCAAACTGTCCAGACCCCTCCTTCCTGTTATAAGTTGTCCCTCCCATTGAATCATTGTAAACACAACTATTTAATTCTTCAACTTTCTATTTTACGTTTATGATTCTTGACTTTTAATGTTCTTGTTTTTTATTTTCTTTATTGTTACTCACAAAAAAGACAAATTCCTTGTGTGTTGTAAAACTACGGAAGCCCTAAGCGGCCATAGATTTTACTCCGTTTTCATGTGAAAACAGGATAATTTCCTCGTGATCTTGAGATAACAAATCATAGCTGAATACAGGGGTCGGTAGGTTTGTTTCTTTAGGATGATTTCAGAAAAGTTTCCAGTGAAATTGGTGAGCTCAGTTGGCACAGGATTGTGTGCACGGGAAAACAAATTTTTTCGATACTTATCCTGTTATCAAAGGGAAACAGAGTAAATACAACATTTGAATCGATGGGCACTTAGGGCTTCCGTAAAAACCTACTTGGCAACAAACCTGACTGTGATTCTTGTTCTCCTCCGTCAGACTCCTCTCTGTCTGTGCTCAGACTCTGCTGCCATCTAGTGGTCTTCTGTCCATACTGCGTCTCTACTGGTCTGATGCTGTCCATCTGCTGCAGCAGGAAGACAGGAAACAAACCAGCCGTCTCCATGGAGATGACCCAGCGGGTTGGAGGAAGTGACGAATTGGATGGCGATTATGATGACATCACCGCTGATGTCACCACTGAGCACGCCTTCTGAGCTGTGAACAGAGTGACAGCAGCTGTCTTTAACAATAACATGATGGATCTGAAGTCAGCTCCTGGATCAGTTTGAATATGTGAAAATACTGATAATCATCATCATGTGTTTTCTTAAATTTTCAGTGGTCAGAAATATAGTGTAGAGTTATAAATAAACACATAAAGTGCTAGCTTCCGTAGATTAGCAGACTCTGTATAACCAGTGAATAAGTGTGTTGCTTAGTTTCTGACCGTCTACAGATGGTGACAAATGACAAGAGGAAGCAGCAGGAAGTGTCTTCTGAACAGCTTCATGGCTTTTTAGACCCAGAAATTCTGTTTGGTTTCTTTATTCTCTTCTCTTCTATCTCAAAGTGTTTCTGGACGTAGGCTTTGTATGTTAAGCTGTTAAGCTTTGCTAAATAAAACTAGGTAGATCATTTTAATCTATTGAAAGGTCGATGATTCTCTGACCCCGATCCTTTTATCCCCTTATCCAACTTTTCCTAAACAACATTTCAGTAACGCTTCTAATTTCTAACAATTCTCTAAAATGTTGCCAATCTTTGTTCCTCCAGAGAGGGAGAGCAGCGCAGGTGTTAGCAGGGGCGGATTGGCTATTGGGATGTGGGAACAATCCTGAACAGCTGATCTATTTTAGGCCGAACCAGCTGGTTTTCAAGAGTTTTTATTTTTCAGTTTCTTATGTTCAACTTTAAAATGATTTGCGACCGCGTTGGCCGGTCAGCTGCAGTGTACACGGTCTGTGTCTTTTAGACTGGGCCAAACCTATACCTTCATACTGGGGTACAGGCGGCCCCTCCCAACTCGGACCGATCCTCTTATTTTCTGAAATCTGATTGGCTCAATGGCGCCGATGAAAGGAGTTTACTTTCCAGCAAGGACAAGTTTAATCTCTTTATGTGATCTTGGGGCTGAACTCAGCCCAGTGTTTTGTGACAAGCACAACAGAGGAGGTACATTGTTGAAAAGAAAGAAAGAGGAAAAGGAAATGTGTGGTGCTGAACATAAAAGACAGAAATGTTGGCACAAGAGGCAACTAAATGCATAACTTACCCGACCTCTTCCTTAGTGGAACGCTGCTGTGGCAGCGCGATGCGGATGAGGCAGGAACCAGCGCAGGTACTGATAAGTAATCCATTTATTATAACCTCAGATAATTTATATGCATTCATGTAGGCATAGAGGCTATATATATTTTATATATTATAAACAACAGTTGAAGGGAGAAGGAACAGGAGGACTGTAGGAGAAACACGAGGAACAGAAGCAGGAGTAGGAGGACAATGGAAACAGAAACAGTGGCAGGTACAGGATGTGTGCAGGGCAATCATCCATAGATAGAATAAGAAAATGGATTATTGTTAGTTATATTTATTACTGATCTCCTTAACATCCATATGTAGCTGCACAATCAGGACAAGCAGAGTCAGGGTCCGGCACAGGGGAGCTGAAGCTGAGGGATTTGATTCTATTTTATGAGACTGCATTGTAGTTTCTGATCATATTTAACTATTTTAGCCTTCTGACTGACTCAGGCTTGCCTAACCTGGTCTTGTTCAGTGCAGTGGCGCCTTTCTTATTCAAACTTAAGAGGCAGGTGTAATAAAAAGTTTCTTGAAGGTCATCATAATGAAAGTGACTGTATGCAAGTAAACCACTATTTATTGAAATAACTGCGCCCCACACAGCGTTCGTCTCAAAGTCCCGGGCTGAATTTCAGTCCCAGTACATCCTTGAGTGTTGGGACAGGAGCATGAAGCAGAGGAGAAGCCTAGTACGTGGGGTGAGCCCTCCTCTGTCTTTTGATACTCTATCGGATAATTATATTCTTTAGGACTCATGAGAGCTTGTATTTTTTTATTTATTTAACCAGACGATGTCATTGAGATTTAAAACCTCTTTTCCAAGAGAGACCTGGCCAAAAAAGCAGCATATGGACAAAGACACAGTTACAAATATGAACACGAGCACACGCACAACAACAAAGAACAATTAACAAGACCCTTATGATAGATTAACAAATGACATTAGACCACTTAAAAGGCCAATTTATACATACTGTAAGTTTAAAGGATTTAGTTATTTTAAAAGCAGTCACAGTGATTCACAATGATATAAATATCGCTTTGTGGTTAAAGACACTAAAGTAGACATTCATTCATTCATTGATTCAGAAGTTGATCTTGTTCTGTTTGGCAAGAAGGCCGAACCAAAGATAAGTAAGTGAGAGATAACAGCTCACCCATTGGGAGTAATTCATAGGGTGATGTTGAGGTGGTGTGATTTGTAGGTCAGAAGGTGTTTCGGTTCAACTTTTTGATTCGGAGTGAATGTCTAGAAGAGAATGTCTAGAATTGACTTCGGAGGCAACTGGATGTGATTTTGGTAGAACCACTGCCTCTAAAACTTTAAACCAAATTTATAATAATGGCCATGTAATTGTCCATTTCCAGCCAATGGGCCCCAAGCTATGCTCTTCAGTCACAGTCCACATTTTATTTGCAGAAAACGGCATCCTAAGGGGAAGTACTATCAGCTATGACATGAGCTAACTGTGTGCCCTAACATTAGGTGTGTGACAACTTGTGTGAGAAGTGACTGTTTGCTGATAAAACAATGATACTAAAGAGGTTAAAATTCATTCTCCTGACCTTTTCAAATGGTTTTCAACAATGACTTTTCTGTGTAACAAACCATCTGACACAATCAGGTTAGCAGTTGCTGGAAGTGTTCGGCTGGGTGCACTGTCATCCCGAGGCCACAAGCCCTGGCTAGAGCGAGCTGCTGACGTTGCTGGAAGTGGCAGCAGAGGGCGCAAACATCCCAGTGTAGGAGTACCTTTTGGAGCCAGCAGCTGTGGCTATTGGAAGCGGGCAGTAGGAGTCACTGGCAGTTTTGCTGGCAGAATCCCAAATTAAAGTCGGCTGCTATGGGAGTAGACAGTTTGGCGTGCTTACATCCTGCTGCCAGGAGCCCCAGCTAGAGTGAGCTGCCGCAGTTGATAGAAGTGGCAGCAGGAGGCACATGCATCCTGGTGCCAGGTTCCCCTGCTAAGCCAGGCTGACTTAGTTTCTGGAGCTGCATGGCAGGGAGTGTTGACCTAATGTTGTTTGTCCTGTATAACGTAGGCTGCTGTGCTGTTGCTTAAAACCCTTCATTCCGGCCTGCTAGCCAGCAGCTTCATCTCTTTTTTTGATGATGATCAAAAAATCTGATGTTCCTCCTCTCTTTCATTCAGCTTCTTCCTTTCATTTGTCCCGTCTGTTTGTTGTAGAAGCCCTGCTTTTTGGTAGATTTGGTAAAACCTCCTCAGCTCCATTGTAGAAAATATAAAAAATATTCTAATGGTGTAAAACTCATATTGCATAAATTCACATTCTGATTTGCAGATGTGCACATTGTGTCTATGATTATACATTTTAATATTTATAGCAACTGTGTGAATGTGTTTTTCACCAAATTCACTTCAACAAATGCAGCAGAATTTTTTTTATTTGCAACATTTATTTATTTTCATACACGTGTGGCTACAAACACACAACAGCAGTCTCCAAAATGACAGTTGAATCAACACATCTCAACACAAACAGGTTAAAACCATCGTGAAGGAGGATTTACTGCAGGACTTTTGGATTAGACTTCAGATTGAGAGCAGTAGCACACACGCTCAAAGCAAAAGGAAGCAGACAGAAAGATTTATTTTAGAGAGAAAGCAGTTTCCATCCAGAATCTCTCACACAGAGAAGATGAGGAGATGGATGAAGAAGAAGAAGAAGGGGGAGTGAGCAGGAGCGCCTCCGCTGGTAGTCGGTATGTTGGCGGCAGCTGTGCTGGTGCTGTTGGTGTTGCTGATGGAGGCTGGAGATTAACCAGGAAGGTGGTGGTGTTGGAGGCCTTGTTTCCACCTATTAACCCCGCTGCCTGGAACCGAGAGCCGCCCTGCTCACCACCAGATCACTCTGAACAAACAAACAGGAAAAATAAGTTCAAGTCCAACTTTTTGTCAAGCTGTAAATAATTCTAATATTTATGATCAATCTCTCCTGAACGAGCAAATTTCCAGAAAGACCACATGTCTCAATCATTTAAAGTGAGACTATAGGTGCGTTTGACTTCATGAGGCGAGTCACAGCGCTGACTTATCGTGATGCAGGCTGGACTTAACATAAAGCATGCTGGTTAGAAATTGTGTCCGACTTTTGCCGGTGCTGTAAAACGTCACCATGTCACATGACATTAAAACCTCCCGGAGCAAGGCGGCTGAACTTTTCTGCATTCGGCGACCGCAGTTGCTCCTGGGGTCTCATTTCTAAACGGTGTGTATGTACAAAAGAGGGCTGGAAAAGTGTGTAAGCCACTTCCCAGCAAAGGTTGTCATCTTTAAAAAAAACAGAAAAAGAAACGGTGACTCACATGGCAGAAGGATGAAAGTTTTAAATGGATACGAAAATAAATGTAAATATTACCTCTGAGTATTATAGGCCTATAAATCTTAATATAATGTAATAATATTAAGTCATTTTCCAAACAGATGAAAGCCTTTCTTAATAAACAAACTCCCATTTGATCGATTTTCCCAGAGATGTGCAATAAAAAAACATTTAAGATCATTTGCAGCTCAAACAAAAAGAAACACGATTTAGGATAAATCATGCAAAATAATGCAGTGCAATTTTTTCTCATAAGGAGGAAAAATTGCATTTAAATTGATGCCGTTTTTGTTGTTTCAGTCGAGCAAATACGATTGCATAGTTACATATATTGTTATCAGTGTTCGTTGCTTTATTACATTTGAGCCAAAAAACATGATCTAGAAAAATATAATAATAACTATTATAATAACTAAAATAATAATTACTTTATTAAGTAAATCTTTCAGTTCTTTTCAATGTGGGAATCCAAATCATCTACCTGGGTCATCCCGTCTTGCATGTGTGTGCCCCTCCACCTCCGTCACTACTCAGGAGAATTGACCCTTCTGGCAGATCACTTATAAAGGGGTTTTCCTCCGGTGCACAATTGTTGCGTGAAAGTGCGTTTATTACCCACCAAATAACTTCAGCTTCACCAAAAGGAACGTCATTGTCACACAAGTTAAATTTCTTTTTGTAGCTTTACTGTCAGATTTTGCCTCCTTTTCTCCCTGCAGTCAGTACATATTAATATTAATGAGGGGCGTCTCACTGACCATTTATAGGCAACTGTGGACGTTTAAAGGGTCGAACATGGATCTCGCTCACATGCGCCACAAGTTGATTGTGATTTATAAAGGGAAATCGGCGTAGGACATGTGCGCACACTGTTTTATAAATCAGAATATTTTTGTGTCTATGCACTTCCTGTGCTTTGTACGTATGCAACCTGGAGTCTTTTCTATGTACAGTTTAATAAATGAGACCCCTGGACTTTACTAGCTCCTGTTTTCTGCTATTGTCAAAACTTTCTGCACATTCAAAACCTATTCCACATATGTGTTCTCCGACATGTCATATTACGAAAATAATTTCATCATTTAATGAGAATTCATTATATTATACACAGCAAACAACAGTTCAGGAGTTCCTTCTCTCAGTAAAAGAACCGTGGAAGAACTTTTTCTGCAGGTCTTAGACCTTTATGTTGCGTACAACTTTGGGCTCCAAAATTGTGTTAAAAAAAATGTGTGCGTAAACACAAAAGAGAACCAACAGAAACAGAAGAAACACTCTGCTCTCAGTCGGTGTGGTGGACTTTCACCTAGTTAGGGAGTTAGTGTGCCAACTTCTGTACCTCAACCTACATTTCAGGGTGATAATGGAGAGACTTCTGTGATCAACAACCAAAGTGCCAAATTTGCATTGTAGTTATGTTTGGCGGTATGGCTCTGTTCTGGGATCTGCCTATGTGGGGAACACCTCCCTGCCCATCATGTGCATACATGGAAAGCCCGAGGCTGAGAGCAGCAATAAAGAAGCCCTGTACAGAACAGAGCAGGCATATGCTGAATTATGTAATAATCAGGTAGAAGGTGGTCCTGAAATACTGTGTTAAATGGGCTGAAGTCGGTACGTTTATTATCAGGCTGTGGCCTGTGTCGCCTCTGCACATGAACACACATGTGGGCATGCACCCCCACCCAGCGCAGAGAGAGGCTGCGGTGGAGACTCTGAACTCTGAACTACTCGAGTTGGCGACAGTTACCCGTTACTGTTACTCGTTACTGTAGTACGCGTAACAGAACCTCCCGGGTAAAAGACAATGCTTTCTAGAAACATCTGTTTAACAAGCACAACTTGTAGAAGGTGTTATTGTTCTGCTCTGTCTACGTCTCGCATCCTCTGTTATAAAAGCACACCGCACTAACTCTAGCTTGGCAATTAGCTAAATGAAAGCAGTCTGTAGTTTAACTGTTTAGCTTAGATTGCCAGGTAGCCTCAGTGCAGGATCACAGCAGAGACAGAGGGAAGGAGGACAGGAGGGAGGTCTGATGCCACTTCTGAAACAGTGAAAAACATCCTAACTTTGGGTTAGCTGCCTGCACTGCTTCTGTTTGGCTCTATCCATGAGTAGCAATATGACGCCCAGAGTGTGACACCAGCAGCGGTGTGGGAATTTTGGGGTATAATAATATCACAGAGTATCATCTAGACCTGCTATGAGATAACTGCTGTTGTGATTTGGGGCTATTTAAATATAATTGAATTGAATTGCTAGCATTGTTTATTCTTATCGGCTAAATTCTCTGCCAAAATCCATTTCCCGCAATGATTCTGATTCTATGCCCAATGGGATCCATAATAAAGCTTGGTTGGTGGTGGGTTATGAGCTGTAGCACAGAAAGCAGCGAGGGCAGGCAAGCAGGCTGCAGCAGCTTAAATAAGGCACCTTCTATGGAATTTGCCAATGAATGCTAGGAGATTAACCAGCTGAGCTGCTGATGTGGCTGGCTTAAGATGGCTGCTATCAGCTGCTGGTACTGTGAGCTGAGCTTAACTTCGTTGCCTGCCTGAACTAATGCTGTGTTTCATTACTATCCAGATGTGTTTTGAACAAGAAGAAAATGACATCATTTTAAAGCTTTCCAAGGGGTTTCCAAATGGTTAACATCAAACTCTAGACATGGCCGGCACTTACGTTAGCGTGCAGTTCTTGGTGGAGAACAGGTGACGCTGAGGTCACCGTCAGTCCCAGCGGACATGAAGGTGTAATAGCCCGGCTGGTTGATGGTAATCTGACTGTTGATCCAGGACTGATACTGGGACACTCGGGTGTAGCCTGATGGGATATTAGGCACTGCGCAGCCCCTATTACTGAGGAAACTCGTGATTCCCCCTGGATCCAGCGACCGCCCTGCTTGCTCACCAGGGACCTCCTCCATCCCCCTTTACGGAAAGAAACATTTAGGAGAAAGAATCTTTGCAGAAGGTAAAATCAGACTCGTAAAACTGATCACCTGACAGATGTCCTTCCCTCCAGCACCGGCACACATCTTGTTGTTTGTGATCAGGCTCAATCCGTAGGTACAGCTACACTGTCTGTTCCCCACAATAGGCAGCTGCACCTCCATTAGCTTTTGTGGGTAAGGAAGGGACACTAAAGAGACAAATACAGTTTAGTAAACAGCACAAGTGGTGAAATGTGGTTTCATATGGTTTCACCCAGAACGGCCAGTTCTACATAATCGTACAGGCTTTGCCGTCTAAGGCTATCGCTACTGGGTTTATCCCTCGCGCACACACACGCAGTACTGAAAAATATTTTCCCATACCCACCCGCGTGATTGGCCACCACCATGGTCTCACCCTGTCTATAAATTGGGGTGAGATCGGACTATCGGCTCAGAGCGGAAAGCATCTGGCATCATGTCGGCTATGCACGGCCTCAACACTCTTAGTGTTCTGTTGATTTATGCTACCTATTGCGATGCGCTACTTAGCAGTTCTAGCGAGTAGCATGAGTTATCTTTAAACAAACATAAATTAGCTAGCTCGTTGTACTGGATGTTGTGGTTAGAACAAGACAGCAAATAGGCTAAATTTACTAGTGTAGACTAATTCAATGTATATTATTATTATTATTATTATACTTTTTGGCTTTTCCCCTCCCCCTTATTGAGTTATATATGTTTTTTGTGCATGTAACAGGTTTGCAAAGTGTAAAAGCCCAAAGTCCAGCACAAAGGGAGTTCCCATCTCCCACGAAAACTGCCTGAAAACAGCTCGTTTTGTTTACTGTGATGTAGAGACAGAGCTCAGTTAAAACTTTATGGATACAGATTAATAACTCACCACTCTGAAACTCTCGCTCCAGTCCATGTTGCTAAGCTGGTCGGCAACATGTACAGCTGAACCAAAGCTGTTTACTGGCTTCTCACGACCCGCCCTACTCTGCTTCTGATTGGATCCATAAGTCCTTAAGTTAACTGTGCATGTGCAACTCCCAACAAACATCTTGTGGTTGTGAGATGTATCAGTCCATCTCTCAGTCGAGGCAGATGGCCGCCCACCCTGAGTCATGGTTCTACTCGAGGTTTCTGCCTCTTAAAGGAAGTTTTTCCTTGCCTCTGTCTCCTAGTGCTGCTCTTGCTGGGAACTGTTGGGCTTCTGTAAATAGCATCATAGAGTACGGTCTAGACCTGCTCTTTTATGAAAAGCACTCTGTTGTCTGTCTGTAACTGTTGTTGTGATTTGGTGCTATATACTGTAAATTGAATCCATAGGTAAAACGAAGCCTTCAACACAGGGTGAGAAGAAGAGCTGCAGCAATGCGCAGTATGATAAAAAAATATGGTGTTTTTTGAAAATTAAACCATGGAAACCTGTTCTGGTACAAGCCCTAAATAAGATTTTGAACCTGACAATGAGCAGAATATGACCTCTTTAAAGCACAAAGAACTTAAACTGTTCCTCTTTTATTTACTTTCTTACTTTATTCACACTGTTTAAATTGATAGAATTAACACAATTTACTGTCTTTGGGATAATCATATGTTTTAATACAGTATCAAAATATACTCCCCGTATACTTACAGTAGTCTACACATGGAGTGAGTAGTGGTGCAATATAAAATGATTCTGTAGTAGAAGCATCTGCTATTGATTGGCGCTATGGTAGCATTTTTCAACAAGGAAGCGGACATCATCAGAACACCGGCTGCTTTCATTGAATGTAGTTGGTTAGATGGCTGGATGTGCAGGCTTTCTTTTCCTTTCCATCCTTCTTCAGAGTGTTTAGTGCAGTGTAGTGACTTGATTTGTCTGAATCCTTACTTGTTTATCACATTTGTCTGTCGTCTATTTGGACAAAACACTCCGTTTGAGAAAATAATTCTGTACAGATCAGGTGCTCGGTACACTATAACAAATAAAATTGGTTGCAGTGATTTACAACTTGGATATGAAAGACCAAGAACAAGGCTTTCAAATGAGCTATAATTTAGTTTAGGTTTAGAGCTGATTAGTAGGCTTGAGTTCAAGCTAGCTGCAACTCCACCTCCTCGGCCCGCGCCTCGAGGAATGTGAGTATTAATATGACTGGGATGAGGGGATTCATGGATGCTCCAGAGGGCATCAGAGCGCACTCCACCAGAGGAATCTCAAAGTCTACAATTGTGATTCTTGGTTTTCCCCTTTTTTCTCACTTCTCTATGTTTCACTCTGTGCTGAGTGTTTAGTCGGAGTGATTGCTGTCACTTAATGTGGTTGTACTCCCTCCTCCCTGCCTGTTGACACGTAGAGAGCTGTCCTCATGTTGGCCCTACTCCACTTCGCACTTAGAAAATATTCAAACTTCTTCACAAAACTATGTGTTAATGTCAAGACAAATCATGATATAAGGATCCCTGCACACAGTAACAGGAATGATTTGTTTCTCCCCTGGTAAAGGAGGAACTGCATTTTTGCATTGAAATTTCTGAAAAACACAGTTGTTGACTCCACTGTAGTTACACTATCTCTGAAAATAAATGTAATCCAGGTTTTCTGACCCACCTCCAGTTCCAACGTTGCCCCAGCCGGTGGCCCAGGAGACAGTGCCCTTGTAGAAGGTGCTGCCTGTGGCTGCCAGGCAGACGGGCAGGACGTAGGCGTTGAAACCCACCGGTGAGGAGAGCTTCAGGAGGCAGATGTCGTTTTCAAAAGTTCCAGGGTTAAAGTTGGGATGAATGATGATCTGTGATACTGCCCGAGACACTTGATTGGGGTTTGTTCCCTGTAGACTCTGGAGACCCAGAACCACAGTCAGAGTGCTCGTGCCTATGCCTGTGCTGAGGTTATGAGAAGAGAAACAAAAGAGTGCAAAGACATGAAAGCAGAACTGTAGTCAAGAACACTTTAGCAGACACTAAGTCCACTTTAAGACCACGTCTAGTCTAGTTCGTATGGAGCCCGATAGATGTGGCAACAGGGAGATATCATACCCATCATCCTTAGTCATTCATGTGCTCAATTAACTTTTTCATGACCTCAAGACCTAATTATGGAAATTTTTTCTAAAATTAATAATTTTCCATTCAGTCTGCACATACAGTCCATGTTCTTTGCATTTGTTGCAGTCGAGAATTCCAGAAAACTAAGGATTCATTTCTACCTCATTCTGCCTTATCAAATTTTTTTTTACAACAAAGCAATCTCCAAGTATACAAATCAAATGAAGTTCAAAATGGAACTTGTGTTTCAGTTGTGAAAGATCACAATTTGGTTAGGTTTAGGAAAACGTCATTGCTTGGGTTGAAATAACGACGTTACTTTCATGACTTCACTTATGTTCAATAGTCTCCAGTCACCTGTTTTTAGCTTTCATAAATGAAGCTACAGGGCTTCCCCCAGTGCATTACAAACTGACACCAAGGGGTTTTTGCCACGCAAAAAGAACACTTGTTTACACATGCTTTCAAAAAGTTTAGGGGACATTGGTATTCTCTCTTCTGGTTAGCTCTAGAGCTGCATAGGGCAGAAATTTACTCTAAAATGCAGACTAAACTCATGCAGACTACATGACTTTCAGCGTCGGCTGTCTTGTGATGGGAGTCTTGAAGTCGTTGTGACGTTCACACTACGTGACTGATCGGTGAGAGGGGGTCACACATTACACGAGTGGACTGCGGCTGTGTCACCCGACACTGGTCTCCAAACCACGATTTGTCAAGAAAACACGTGAAATGGGAAATGACGCAAACCTACAGACAAAACAGCTGTTATTATTAAGATGGCAATTACAAAGACAAAGAATCTGGGTGAAAGAATGGATTAGCACAAACAGGTAGGGATTGTCTGAGCTACAGCGAGAGATGGAGATGAAAGTGTTTTGAAATGAAAAAGTAGCTGCCTGCTCTCATTGGCTGGATGTGGATGTCGGCTGAACTCCTCCAGATACTCCTCCACCGATGTGTCAGTGATGCTCCCAGACGCATCGCTGACACATCGGGTCAGGAGCTGTTCTGATGGGTCTTCGAGTAGTTCACACGTAATGAGTGGCTGATTTACCCCTGATGACAGCCTGACGGTTGCCAAGCTTACCGACTGGGAAAGTGGGCTTAAAACGTGTCGTGTGATTTAGGCTTAGGTTGCCTCTTATTCATTTTCATCTCTGCCTCTTAGAGCAGTTATTCCAAACCTTGTTGGCTGGTGACCCCTCAAAAAGGAGGCATTGTCTGCTTGATTCCAATCACCACAGCTTGAAACAATCCAGATTTTATCCTTGAATGGTAATGAATGATAAAATCATTCAGATTCGAGTGGGTCTAGGTGGGGAAGGTTGGGAAACACTGCCTTAGGCAGGCTGTTTACAGGACTGTGTGGCATGTTGTTTTCTGCTGTGACCCTATCCTCACTAGTTACCTTGTGATGCAGTTAGCAGCTGTCAGCACCCATTCATTGTTAATGAGGGTTCCTCCACAGAAGTGGGTTCCAGAGCTTTGCAGACTGGCCTGCCAGGGCCAGCTGCCTGCAGAGCCCACCAGTCCTCCAACGATCTTAGTGTTGAGCGTAGGCTGACCACACACTGAGGAGGGGGACAATAAAGACACAGGTGAACAATCCAGGGTTGACAGCAAATACAAACAATAATGATTATGTTACATTTAGCTGATGCTTTTATCCAAAGCGACTTAAAAATGCTATATATGTCTGAGGTTGCACGCCTCTGGAGCAACGAGGGGTTAAGTGTCTTGCTCAGGGTTTACAAAGTTTATGTCTAACAAAATGTTTGAAACGTCCAAATGGTAGATGGAGAACAAGTTAAAAAGTTAGCAGTAAAACTGTGACTCAGCATCTAGTTGTGAGCGAGACTCACTCCTGTGATCTCAATGGTATAACATTATTGTTTTAACAACCATGGTGTTGCCATGAACTTCATTGCGCAAAACAGTAAATGAACACATCTCCATTCAAATAGATTCTGAAACAAAACATGAAACTGTTTGTTAGAAGAAGAAGAAAAGTATCTAATATAAGCTTTCTGAGGCAAAACTTACCTTGGGCTATGGGTGGTGGCAGGGCAGGACAGGTGACGCTGAGGTCACCGTCAGTCCCTGTGGAGGTGAAGGTGATGAAGCCCGGCTGGTTGATGGTGATCTGGCTGTTGATCCAGGACTGATACTGGGACACTCGGGTGTAGCCTGACGGGATATTAGGCACTGCGCAGCCCTTATTACTGAGGAAACTCGTGATTCCCCCCTGGATCCAGCGACCGCCCTGCTTGCTCACCAGCGGACCTCCTCCATCCCCCTTTACGGAAAGAAACATTTAGGAGAAGGAATCTTTGCAGAAGGTAAAATAAGACTCGAACACAGGAGTAAAACTGATCACCTGACAGATGCCCTTCCCTCCAACATTTAACTCGGCGCACATCTTGTTGTTTGTGATCAAACTCAATCCGTAGGTACAGGTACACTCTCTGTTCCCAACAATTGGCAGCTGCACCTCCATTAGGTTTTGTGGGAAAGGCAGGGACACTAAAGAGACACAAATTTAGTTTAATAAACAAGTGTTCACATGTTTTGAAATGGTTTCAAACAAAATGGGAGTTCAATAAATGCATCAGTGATCTGTGGCACACCGGAAGTATTGCCAGATGTTCCTCTATGGATCAAGCAAACATTGTCCCTACTTGAACCCAAAGGACCATGCCAGCTGTTTTCTATGTCTTAGCCCATTAAAGGTACAATGAGTAGCGTTAAACCAAAGGGCAGGTCCGCCACCAAACTTCAAA